AGGATGTTGGGAAAAAACATAATTTCCATGTCAAGGTGATAGAGTTTGGCCTCCCACAGCTGGAAGACTGGTGGAAAAGAGTTTGCTCTGCTGTGCAATTTCCTCCTTCAAAACCCAGTTACAGTAACTGCTGTGGACATTCCACAGCTAATGGTGATCAGAGGCAGTCACTGCTGTGAGGCTGGAGGCCGGGCCTCACCAGCAGATTTGCAGTCAAGCAGCATTAGGCCTTTCTGAAGGGCCCTGTCAGCAAACACGAGCTTAGGGAGCGAGAGCACATCCTCCTGTTCGTCTTTTTTTGGGAGGGGGCAGAGGAGGTAAACGCTGCCAAAGGAGCTGGTCTGACAGGGTCGAGGCTGGATGCCTCTGTGCAGCAGTGTAATGGGAAAGCCCTTGGAGAGGCAGGAGATCCTGGAAGCACTCCCGTTGGAGAAGGCTTGTGTGCAGTAGGAGATCAAATGGGGACTCCCCCATGCCCGAGGCCCAGTGCAGACAGACATTAAGAGATGATGCTCCTTTGGCATATTTGCCTATAGTTGCCATGGCCCCCCTAGAATATCTGCTTTTTCCTTTAGCCATACCAAGACAAGTGCATTTAGAAAAAGCTTCCTATAGACTCTCCCTTACCCCTGTGTACATCCTTGACCCTGCAGAGAACCCTAAGGCTGGGTCCTGCTCTAAAGCTCAAACCCTCCTATGCTGATTTCATGTCAACTTTCCTACAGTATGGATTCCTGAGAGCTGAGCTCATTTCACACAGGCATGTCCATGTATTCCCTCTTCTGGTGACTGATACCTCCAGCATTCCCTATAACTTCACAAATAGTTTCCATACACTTCATAACTTAATCCAACATCTCTCATCTCCTTCCCCACAGAAATGTGAGAACACAGGGGTTAAAAAAAAAGTGAAAAAGAGAGTAAAAAACCAAGGGACAGGGACCAGCAGGAAACCAGAACAGACATTACTCCTAAAGGAAGTCCAGGAGTAAGGAGAAGCTTGGTCTGGTGCCAGCTTGGCAGGCCATGATTCACCCATCTCCTCCCCACTGATGTTTCATTTTGAACTTGAATATGACATCCTCCACTCCTAACATGATGTATTTCAGTTCCTTCCACTCCAGAGGCTGAAGTTTTCCCCAGGCATGCAAGGGAATTCCATCTTAACCTCCTCCTTGCTGCCAGTGAAGCAACCATGCTGCTCCCCACCCCAAGTTTTCAGAGCAGAAGCTTTGACTCCTTCTGGTTGAGGAGATTTAAAACAAACAAACAACAAAAAAAGTCAGCACACATTTTTTACCTCTATCCCTTTCCTTTTTGAAGCTAAGATGAAAGGATTAGTGCTTTATTTGCCTTTTAGCCCAGGTGGGCTGCTCTGCTAGCCTCTGCCCATCTACCATTGTTGCAGGTAACAGCTGTGGGGATCGCAGCTGCTCTTGTGAAAGAAGCCTTGAACTATGCTGCAACCACCTGGCAATGCTGGACCCATTTGTTCACAGTGAAGGAACATGCGAGCTTGTAATTGTTCATGGCAAAGGGAGCTTTTTAATGACTTCAATTAACAGAGAGAACTCCAGTTAGTTCTTGCTATACAAAAGTGTCCACAATGTCATTAAAACGAGATTTACAAGTGTCATAACTCTCAGCAGCATAGTCAACAATACAGCCAATCATTACAACTGAGCACCAAAAGAGAAGGGGGGAACATCATACCACTGAGGAATTGGATGAAAAGAAAGAAGTGTGGGGGGGAGAAGGTGCAGAGGAAAAAAGAAAAGTCATTTTTTCTTTTCAGTCTAGATTGATTTTATTCTACAAAATGCTACTCAGTTAAAATTGTAAAAGCAAAACCATTTTAATACGTTCTTTCTTTTGTAGCAGCAAGCTTTCTCTAAACAAGCTTTTTGTTTTAGTGCAAATACTGTAGGCCTGTAATTCAGTAAAATAACAAGAACAGAAAAGAGACAACACCAGAGAGAATGCCTCAGGGATGAAATTCCCCAGGACTGCAAGAACGACATCAAGACCACTACGAGCAAAGAAAGGTCCCACTTCAGCAGTCATCTTTAAGAACCTCTGTGGCAGAAACTGTTTCACTGCAGACAGACAGTAAAAAAGAAAACCCATGATCTAAAACTTCTGAGGAAAAAAAGATAATGGCGCCCCCAAACCTTCAACAATCCTCATGGTCACCTGTTAGTCACTGAGACTTCATTTCACTACTGACACCTGCTTCACAGCAGCAAAAGGCTGCTGATGCTTTCAGTTTGTCCCACGTGAGTGGAATCAGAACCAGGCCCTTTCTGTATCTGAGGATCTTAAAGCAGACTTTAGTGACACTAGTAACTTATCTCTCTAATAAAGATGCACTATCCCTTACTGATGTTACTTTGAACTACACAGTATATCAAGATATATACAACAGTTTATCCTCTCACTGAGCAAAAACAATTGGATACCTATTTCCTACACATTTTAATATGGTTTTAACATCAAGTAACCACAAACAAGAAAGTGGAATAACCCTTTAATCATACAGGATAGGAGGGGAACAATTAAGTAAAACAGGATTGGGTTTTATTATTATCTTGTACTCTGAGATTTGTCCTGAACTCCACCTACTGTTCACAGAGGAATGATAATGCATCTTTAAAAACATATCTCTTTTTACATTTTATACAGACAACAACAAAAGTCAGATTATTTTATTTAAGGAATCAAAAAAAATTATTAGCCTAAAAAAAAAAAAAGAAGATTGTAGTATTTTTAATGCTTTCTTTATTATATCCAAGTCTTGAACAGAAAAACAAAAGATGTAAACATGATAAATAAATAAGAAATAAATGTATATTGTTCCCCCCACCTCTTAAAATGTTTGACTTGGCCTTCCTAATGAAAATTATCTTGTGTCATGATAGTAAGATTTCTTACATTTCAGAAGTCTGTTTTCGAATGAAAAAAGCAACAACCAAAAGGGGAAAAAAAAAAAAAAGCAACAACCAAACACCAGGAATGTGATTTGGCTGGATGTTAAATTAATGGCGGGCAGATCTGCTGGAGCAGGCACAAGACGGCTGCCTGCCAATAAATAATAAGAGACCAGGGAGAAGGGAGGTGTCTTAGGTTTGTTTTCATTTTGTTTTTTTCTTTTCATTTAGGATGAAGGCCAGGTGGATCCTACATACAGTAAGCAGCAAAATTAAAGGTTCAGATGAACTAAATAGATCATTTAAATAATAATTATAAAAACACAACAGAGAGCTACTGTCCCCAGCATGTTGGTCCCAAATCCCATCACACCACAAGTGGATTGAGACTTACCCAGTCTCCACATCTACAAGAAAGGAATATATGAAGGCAATGCCGCAACTGGGAAAGGAGAAGGAGGAATGAGGGCAAAACTGGAATGGCAAACATCACCTAGAAGCTGAATGTTTCCTTCAATGCAGCTGTTACTACTCCTCCCAGTTTGGCATTGATTAATTTAGGATGTTAGGAGAGGCTTTGTTGGGCCAGTCACCAGGGGGCTGACCCAATACCAGCTGAAATTCCCTGGGCCTTTTTCTATTGACTTCAACTCTATCAGCACTAGGTACAACAGCTCCCATATCCCCACTACATGCAGAACATGGAGACACTACATTTAGGAATCAGCAGGGAAAGTACTCATGGAAAATAACATTTTGGGCATGGGAATGACAATTAGTTCCCAAAGAGCACACCAGAAAACATTAAAAGAATCATGTAGGGCCAGACCAAAATGGGAGTGAAGTTGTACCTGCCTGCCAGAAACTAAACAAAAGTTAAGGCTGATCCACAAAACACAAAAGGCTGGAGACCAGCAATTCCAACACAGATATTCTTTGAGAGACTTCAGGGAGAAAAAGGACAGGCACAAGGTATCTGGGGCTTTTTCCAAACAGTGGAAAATAATCCTTTTTTTTGAGGAGTTTCACATGGCTCCCATCAGTATCACAGGTCAGGAAAGGGAAGCATCTTGTTCTGTCTCTGAGCAGGTCAATGACCAGGCAGGAGGGCAGTGGACAAGGACCAGCTGCAGCTCCTTTTGGCAATGATTCAGTGACCAGAAGCAAAGGTAGGTTTTTGTTGTTCCACCAGTTAGATCTGAGGAGACACCTGATTTCTTGAACCCCCTACTAGAGGGGTGGATGTTACTGATCTCACAGGAGACAGTAATCTTGGTCAGCTAGCCTCAAAAGTAGCTGCATTATTTTAAAACTCACCCACCACTTGTCAGGGTTGTTCTCCTCAAAAATGTGTGGAAATGACATGCAGAGATGTTTTATTAACAGTTTTAGATTCTCAGTCCAGAGTGGCCCAAACAAGCATTTGGCAAAATCAAAAAGAGAAGCTGGAGTTTCACCTAAAGTAATATCATCTATGTAAAACCCTAGGAAAAGTGGATTCTTTGTGCTAACTATGGGAAATTTAAGATCGACTTTATTAGAAAGGAAATTTTGATGTACATTTAAGGACAATACAACTAATTTTACTTACTGTGTGAGCTCCATTTGAAACCTCTAGCACCAATATCAAATTGGATGTGTATAAGCAATATAGAAAAAGCCTGAATCCAATCAGCTTTATGAAGCAAAAGGATCCCTCACATATTTCTGGCAGGTTTGGTAAATACTTGGGTTAAAAATAATAGTTATAATAAAAAAGTCAAAGTCCACCTTTAGAGCCAGAATAGTGTCCCATTGAATGGATTCAAGGAATGGGCGGTGGCCATAGTTTGAGGGAAGTTAGCCCTGCTGACTAAAGTCCCAGTTCCACAAGACTGAAACCTATTAATTCCCAGTGGAGCTGGTGGGGACTGCAGCAGTTTTGCATCTCATATGACTAGCCCTATAATTGTATAATTGTATGCTGCATTTCTCCAGGTCCAGCCTGAACAAGAAACGCCACAGTTTCGGCTGATTTAAAAAAGAAAATTATATATATATATATATATATATGTGTGTGTGTGTGTGTGTGTGTGTGTGTATAAAAGAAAAAGACAAACTAAATAAAAATAAATAGCTGCCACCCAGCTTCAATAGGCAGGACCAAAGAGCTATCTCCTAAGTGGTTTAGCTGGCAAAATGGGCAATCCTAGTGTGCACAGGGTCATGTTTTGCCAGTACTTTGATATCAATAGGAATTGAGCTTGGCTCCAAGTGGAAATAGATTACACACATTACTGTTTTCAGTAGTGAACATGAGCACTGGAGAGCTTGTACCCTCTCTGAGCACTTAGTAGTAGCAGTAAAGCCCACAGGCTAGAGAAGGACCCAGGACTAGGGAAAGAGCCCTTTGGTTTGATTCTTTGTCTTCAGGCCAATCAACCACAACAGAAGATCAATCTGCAAAGAAAATGTAAAGAAAAACCAGAGGCCAAAGACCAAGGTGCAAATAATGCTAATCAATTTTCCTCAGCTGTCAATCTGTCATTTGCCAGAGCTTGTCAGAAGCTCTGTTGTAGTTCAAACAGGTCAACACTTTATCCATGCCAATCCTGCTTGGTCAGGAGCTGGGGCCTTGTGGCCTGTGCTGTGCTGGTAGATATGTGCTGCTTTGTTTCCCAACAATGAAAAAAAATCAGCAAGGGTACAGCCAGCTAATTTCACTGTCTTAGCTGCTGCCAGTCTCCATCCTAGATTTATAGGCATGTGGTGCCACCTCTTTTTTTTGTACCATGTTCTGCAAATATGGCCAAGGGGAGGGGAAGATTTACTAACAGGAAGAGATCAGCCTCTGAGTCAGGAGCCCTGATGGGAAGGAAGATGTAATACTCCCTAGACAGCAGGCAGCCCAGGAAAAGTAAACAACAAGCAGCAGACTTGATATCCAGCAAACTAGGGTAAAACCCTGCCAGTCACTGGTAAGTGCCAGCCCAGCAGCTTTTCTGATGCTGCTTTGGCCCTGAGATGCTAACTTGGTTTTTCGAGGAGCCCAAGGGGGTAAATATATCCACATTTTTAAAAAGAGAGGTTTCATCATGAGACTTCTGCTGTCTCTGTGCCTCAGGCTAGAGACTACAAGCTCTGCCCTTGCTGCTGAGCTCTTGGGCTCCTCTTGGTCCCCCTTATCTCCTGGTCCCCCCAGCTGTCATCCTCCTGTCTGGGCAACCCTATGAGTTATATGTTTCCCACAGCTATTCCCAAGAGCAAAGATCCTAATTAGACTTTAGAGTTCAGAGCACTGAGTGAAATGTAATGGGATCGACAACATTGGAAATTATATGCAAAGAGAGAGAGAGAGAGAGCGCGAGCGAGCACACAAGAGAGAAGTTGTAAGTTCAACTAACCAGAATGATTTAAGCACAGAGCACAACGCTCGAGTCAATCCACAAAGGAAAGGGACGACTAGCAACTGTCTGCAGCTCGCCTTCAGTCCTGGCCAGGAGCACTCCCCAGGTCCACTACGGCCACAAAGAGGTTTCCACAGGCAGTCCCTACAGAGCGGACATCACCCTCTCCAAACAACCCTGGCGTGTCAGTCCCACCCTTGCCGTTTCCTGCCTCCAGGGAGCTGGCGTTGGTCCTCACTCTCCTTCCTGGAGCTGTAGCACTTCCCCATCCTTGTTCTTGCTGCCCTTGTGCTTGAACGATCCTGTGCCTGTCTCTAATCCCACGGAGGGGGCTCCCCCCATGGTGCTGTGGGGGATGTAACACACTGGCAAAATGGGGGGCCGCAGGGGGATTACAACGCCAGCAAGGTGGGAGAGTTCAAGGAATCTGAGGACTGGTCCCCACTGCTGCTGCTCCTCCGGTGAGCTTTGGAGCAGGACTCAGAAGGGGAGAGAGGAGACTCCTGATCCAACACGTTAGGGTAGGTGAACACCAAGTTGGAAGAGCCAGGAGTGATGGCTGGTGTTGAGGTCACCACAATGGGAGTGTTGAGTGCCTCTTCCCCATAAAAACCTCCAGCAATGCTGATGGGCTTAATGACAGACCTCTGGGCTTTGTCAAGGACCAAAGAGGAAGATGGGATCTCTTCCTCCACAGGCTCCTGCTTCACCACCACGGCTCCACTTGCTCCAGTCCGAATGCTCTGGAGGCTGCTGGATGGTGGGCTGCGACGTTCCTCGGGGCTGATTTTGCACACAGGGCTGTGAGCCACCAGCATAAACTCCAGCTTCTCCTTCTCCTTCTGGAGCTCAGCGATCTCCTTTTGCAGCACTGACTTCTCCTCCTCCAGTACTTCGGTTTCCTGCAGACAAAAGGGGAATAAATAAATAAAATAGCAAAGGCTCTGGAACTACTCCTCACCTGGAACAGGGCCACCAAGTCCAGATCCCATCTGGCACAGGCAGATACACCCCAGACTCGTCATGAGCCAAGCAGACACCAAGTCATTGCCAGTCAAGCATCTTGTGTTTCACATGCCTATTTGTAGGCTATTCCCAAACATCACCAATCTAAGGTGTTATAAATGTTATAAAGAATCTTGTGAACTTGCCTTAATTTTCTGATGGCTAGTTTTTGCCACTCTGTCTTGGCCTATGACTTCAGTCTTCTCCCTTGCTGTCTGCCTGACAGACACTTTAGCAGAGGACCCAGATCTCCTTCCATTGTTTTTTCATGTTAGGCTAGTAATATTCTTTTCACTTTGACAGAGGTAGTGTATAGCAGTCTCTAAACTGTTTCCATTTTATTTCTGTAATGCATATTCCAGATTAGGGCTGACACTTGTCTAACTCCTGCCCAAAGGACCAACACTGGATGCATCCACGATTAATACATTTATCTTTCCCTGGTCACATCACGCAGATGATCAGTCAGTCTGGGAGCAGTTAGGACCTTCCCATGTGAGGAGCTCATAACTTCACAAAACTCACACTCAGCCCTTCAGGACATGACTTACCACTTTGCACACTCCTCTCACTTCTATCACTTTAGTCACAACATTTCTATAGGATGTCCTGCCTCCCCTCCTGAGAGAACACACTGAGAACACCTCCTAATTTGAGGCAGCAGCACATTTCACAGGTGTGCTTTCACTGCTGCTGTGCTTGGTAACAAGATCATTGGATAAAACCAGGCTGGTTCTTGACCAGGAGCACTGGAGCCTTTCTTCAGCTGATTTCACACAACCCAATCTTGTCTTCTCTTCAACCAGTGCCCTACCCATGCCTTGGTTCTTATGCTCTGCTCTAGCTTCTCCAGCTTTACTAATTATTACTTGTACAGCATCAGGACACACATCTCTGTGCTGCTTCCTTTTTGAAGGAAGTCAGTTACTACTCCACCTCCAAAGGAGGAGTAAGCCTGAAGGATATAGCTCTGATAGGTACACATAACATCTCCCTTATTTTCTATGGCTTTCAGATGATCCGACCTCTTCAGTATTTTTGTCCTTAAAACCTGCCTTTATGCGCACAGTGTCTTATGAAAGGTGACCAGAGTCAGGGAGACTTGTGCTAGTTGAGAGGCGAGAAGGGAACAGAGCTCCTAGGACATTTTGGGCACTGAGCAAAGAGAATTTTAGGGTCCTAAGCTCCAGGGCCAAGTCCCCCTCATCAGCAGCTGTTGATGTAGGAGCAGTACCCTTGGGCAGCCTTGGATGAAGAAGGCAGAGTGTGTTTGCAGCATCTTCCTCCAACGTGCTGGTGGAGGAAGAGCAATGTCCGTGGAGCTGGTTGGAAGGGTGGGTGACAAGGAAGGAGGAATGCGTGCAGGGCACATACCGCCTGGAGTTTCTCTGTTAGCTCTCGACGCCTGTTACGACACTTAGCAGCTGCCAGCTTGTTCCTCTCTCTCCGGATCCTTCGCTTCTCTTCTTCCTCAGGCGACAGCTGTGGGCAAGTGCCAAGAAAATCCAATCAGATCTGAGCAAGGCATTCCTTTAAGTTTGTGAGGATTTAACCACAATGCAAAGGAAAAAAGCCTGATCCAGCAGGATGCTGAGCACTCCCCCTCGTCACTGATGTCAGCAGAAGATGAAAGCACACAGTATCTCTGCCTGCACCAGGTCTTAGCAGAAGGGAGAGGAGAAGGAGCAGGGCACAGGGAGAAGATTGTGTAAGAGGACAGTGAATCTGCACCAAGGCCAAACAGATAAAAGATGCTCTGATTGTTTCACAACTTGGGTGGTACGTTAAGCAAAACCAGAGCACGATGTTGTAAGTGCCTCTTTCTTGAAAGAAAATATCTGCTCCTTCCCACACAAAAATAGTTGATCTCTTGAAGGTTGGGATGGTGTATAGGGGGAGACAGGGAAATCAGCAAAGCTCCCATGAAGTCCATGAAGCAACAATGATTTATACCACCCAAAAATCTGACCTCAGATTTTTGAGCACTCAGCGAGATAACACACTGCTTCTTGCATCAGCAGGCAAGGCTCCAGTGATATCAAGGGCTTCCTGAGGCCAGCTGACATCCTCACTGATGTAAATCAGGAGCAATTCCATAGAAACCCATCCAGCTACACTCTTGCGAAACCAAAGGAAGTGAACGGGAGCTCGCAAGACTTGGTCAAAGCTATGCCTGGTTCTGGGGGTTTGAGACAAGGTTTTACAAACCCCTGCAGCATCAGATAGGTTTGTGCCATGGCCAAAGCCAAGGAGCCAGTCCAGCAGGGCACAGAGCGAGTGGATGTGGCCCCACTCTCTGCTGTGGCACCCAGCGTGCGGGATCCATGCAGACAGAGCAGCACGGGGATCCAGCAGGATCCATGCAGACAGAGCAGCACGGGGATCCAGCGGGATCCATGCAGACAGAGCAGCACGGGGATCCAGCAGGATCCAGCAGGATCCATGCAGACAGAGCAGCACGGGGATCCAGCAGGATCCATGCAGACAGAGCAGCACGGGGATCCAGCAGGATCCCGCAGGATCCATGCAGACAGAGCAGCACGGGGATCCAGCAGGATCCATGCAGACAGAGCAGCACAGGGATCCAGCAGGATCCATGCAGACAGAGCAGCACGGGGATCCAGCAGGATCCATGCAGACAGAGCAGCACAGGGATCCAGCAGGATCCATGCAGACAGAGCAGCACGGGGATCCAGCAGGATCCATGCAGACAGAGCAGCACCGGGATCCAGCAGGATCCATGCAGACAGAGCAGCACAGGGATCCAGCAGGATCCATGCAGACAGAGCAGCACGGGGATCCAGCAGGATCCATGCAGACAGAGCAGCACGGGGATCCAGCAGGATCCATGCAGACAGAGCAGCACGGGGATCCAGCAGGATCCATGCAGACAGAGCAGCACGGGGATCCAGCAGGATCCATGCAGACAGAGCAGCACGGGGATCCAGCAGGATCCATGCAGACAGAGCAGCACGGGGATCCAGCAGGATCCATGCAGACAGAGCAGCACGGGGATCCAGCAGGATCCATGCAGACAGAGCAGCACGGGGATCCAGCAGGATCCATGCAGACAGAGCAGCACGGGGATCCAGCAGGAGTCACGGGGATCCAGGGCACGTGCCCAGCCCTTGACTCCAACCTTGTACCCTACACTTCAGCCTCACCCAGCCCATGTGTGCTGCAGGGACTCTGGTCTGGTGACTGTAAATGAAAGCAAAACCCTGACACCTGGCAAAGCACATGTCACATCTCACAGAGTGCCAGCACAGAATGGGAAGAAACACCTCTTCAGAGAAGCTTCAGTTTTAATATCTTCATGGACTGTCAATATCACAAATGAGACATTCACAATTTTACTATCTTTTCTTTTTAGTGTTAGTTTTACTCCAACCTCAGCCTAGTTTGTTTTGGCTTGCTCTATCTCCCTAATTTTGATGTTTGCAGTTTCAGTAAGTTAACTTCAGCCTCAGGGCATTCAGCTTGCTCATTTCTGCTTTTTTTCAGGATCTGATCTGTGCCTGTGATTTCACCTGCATGTAACATGAGCCCCTGGATGCTCACTGAGCAACACAAGCAATTCTAGAACTGCAGGACACAGAATTTAGGCCCAAAAGCTTTTTTTTTCCATCAGCAGCTCACAATGCCCATCCTAAGGCCGGTGGTAGCTCCATTCAGCTGGGCAGAATATTTCTCCGAGGAAGGAGCCCCTGCAGGCACTGCTCTCCCTGCTACAGCTCTGCCCACTCTCTTCCTACCCCACACGAGTGCAGGGTAAAAATGTATTTGCACACAAATATCTACAGTATGGCACTGAGCATGGACACAGAAGCTATGCTGACTTGGGGCCCCTGTGTAGAATTTTCAAGAGCCTTTTCATGCTTTGGAAGCACAGATCTCATTGAAATATGTTTGGAGTAAAATTTCTGCTACAAAGGCCTTCAGTAATTTAAAAATTATCTGTTTCAAAGACTGCTTTGCAAAAATTGCACAGGCAGGGCAGAAGCCCCTAATCTGGATGTTCTTAACATTTTACCAGGTCTAAAAAGGAATATTCCATCAGTGGTTGCTGGATTTGTTTGAAAGTGGTTGGATTTGGCACTCTTTGTGCCCCTGCTGTATGCGTTATTCGTAGCTTGTCCAAGCCCAATACGTGCATTCACTGTCAGGAACGTTCATCAAAACGGGCTCTTTTCATAAAGTGTTAGACAAGGTTTTCCAAAAAGGCACTCCGATGTGGTGTTCAAAGCACCAACCCTGGAAACCTGAGCCAAAGGGCCACAGTAAAGAGCCCCGGTACCGCCTTAGCACGTGTCTAATCAAAAGGACTTGGCTTTGAATGACCCACAATGAACGGCTTGCAAACAAGCCACAGGCCAGGAATTGCTTGGCAGGCATCCTTCAGCAAATAACTCTGAACAACAAATAAAGCAGAGAATATGGTGATCTCTTCACGGCCAATTTGTGAACACAGAGGCAGCATTTGTCAAACAAATTAGTTGTTGCTAATTATTCCTCCAGCTCTGTGAGACTTTCTTTGCCTTTGGACACCAGCCCTGCATGCAGGGAACAGGGAAGTAGCTCCAGCTGGTGGAAAAGGCTGGCACGTACCCGAACCACCACGCTACTCCATTCTATCTCCCAAACATGGGTCCTCACTGCAGCCATACCAGCTCCCCACACAGAGGTACTGCTAAACTCTATCTTTAACCTCTTGGGCCTAAACTAGACAGCAACTCCACATAAAATAATCGGACTGTGAATCAAAACAGATGACGTAGAAGTAAAAGTAGGGCTGATGAGTCTTATTAGAAACAGACCTCACGCAACAGCACGCGCTCGTGTCTGGAGGGTGCGCCGTGTGTCTCACTGCACTGCTCCGCAGCGACCCACACAAATGCTGCTTGGGAACAACTTGGGGAGATCAAGTTTAGTCAGATCTATTTTTTTATTTTTAAAGAGAAATCAGCCTAGCACTGTGAATAGCTGTTCACCAGACAGCCCCGGAGAAGGCTGATTCTTACTAAGAGGAGAACAACAGCGCTGATTTCCAGAAGATAAAATGCCTGCACCTAGTCCACCAGATCCAGGGTCCCAGCTTGGTAATCCCATTAGGAGGTTGAGCACAGGGCAGCAGTGGTACAAGCCACCTCATGCCAGTTACAAAAATACCTCTGGGTTTGGAGCAGAAAAATCTCTTATGGGATCCCCACCAAACTGCTGCAAAAAGATCAAGCAATTACAGGTTTGTAGTGGGAAGGTGGATTTAGACCCCAGTCCTCCAGAAGGCTCTTCATACTAGAGTTGAGGTGCTCTAGGGAAGCTGTTCCTCCCTGCATGCTGCTGGCTGGGACTGGGGGTATCACACAAATGGACACTGGAGCAGTGCTAGCAGCTACAGAGCTGACAGAAAACACTAGCTGATGTAATTTGGTGTCAGATTTGTAAAGGACCTACATGAAAGCTGCTCTGCTTTCTTGGAGGTTTCCTTCTGCCTGGAGCAGCAGAGACACTCAAACTGAAACCCAGGGCTCAACTTCAGAGTTTCACCTGCTTTTGAAACCAAGCCGCAATGTGGGCTGGTGGTGCGAAGTGTTGGATGAAGACTGGGTAAATCTCACCATATGATGAGGAGGCAGCAATAAAAGTCACCCTCCAGCTTACACCCTCCACCACCCTAAGAAACCCCAGCACGAGAACAGCACCAGCGATGGACCTCAGTGCTCCCCTGCGGTGCTGGGAGATCTCACAAGGGGGTGGGGAGGAAGTCTCTCAATGTCTGTTTCCAAGGCACTGCAGTTACCTGCTCATCTCTCCGTCTCCGTCCCACGGTGGTCCCGATGGTTTTGATGACACCAGGACGCTGCAGAGCCGTGTGTCCGGCCACCGAGGACAGCGGGGGCAGCGGGTGGCTGTAGGGGTGCGAACGGGAGTAAGGGCTTGACATGGAGGTGATGACGGTGGGCTGGACCATCCACTGCAGGTCTTGGCTGGTTGTGATGGCGTTGATCGTAGGGATAAAAGCACTGCCTGATCCTGGCATATCTACTCGAAATTTCTAGGAGGAAAGGCAGGGGAGAAGAGGGACAGAGAGCAGAGAAGAAAGCGTCAATGAAAGCAGAACATAAGTGGTTACTCCAAAACCAGCTAGGCCCTCAGGAGCGGCACCGGTGAGGATCAAAGCGGCACCTGAAGCAAGAACACCAGTAGCTGGTACCTCTGCAGCATCTTAAGCTGCCCCTGCCTGCCACAACCCCTGAGGAAGGCACTGGGCTCAGGCACTTCCCCTCCAGAGCAGCCCTGCCCTCTCCCAACCCCTTTCCTCTTCCCTCCCACAGCTCCCCAGCATACCCTAGCCCAGCCTCCCCTCCCCAGCACCATCCCCACTGCTGCCACCTCCTGCCAGTGCCCACCACTCCTTCCGGCATGGAGCAAAAGGGGAATTAAGGAGTTTCTAGAGAAACACTTCTCTTTGAGCCCAAAGAAAAGGAAGAGAAACTTCAGTTCTGAAATGCCATTACCAAGCAGAGCAAAGCCTCCTTTCACCAAAGGATTGCCCTGAAATTTGGGCTTTGTCCACGTAGGGCTTGGTATGGCAAGAAGAGCAGCCTGCTTCTCCTTCAGTAGCTCTGTGCTCACTGAGGAACCCAGCCCTGAGATGGTTACGTGCGAGGATATGTATTTTAATAGCAGCCTATAAAGTAGGTCTTAGGATTCAGATCGGACAAGTTCCCTGCAGCTCTCTGCACTGTCTAGACAAAACAAGGCAGCAGTAAAACCAAGGCAGCAGGTAATGATCGCCTCCAAAATACATGTACACCTTCTTTCAGACAGAGGTAAATCCATCTGGATAATATGCTGGCACTAAATTGCAAGGAAAACAATCGCTTGTCCCCGGAGGGGGAAGCAGGAGAGAAAGAATGTTTTTGTCTATGCTGAGCTCCTTCAGGAGGCTTTCAATGGTTAGACTGGAATTAACTCACAGACAGGTCTTGCTCCAGCAATCACTGAGCAAGGGACAGGGCTTGTAGGACCCACAGCTGTCACCACCACTGGTCTGTAAGCCTTGAAATGACTCCATGAGAAATGCACATTCTTGGGTCAACAACCTGGCTTCCCAGAGGAGTGAGAGCCCTTGCATCAGCCTGACCTCAGCTCAGGTAAGCGTCCCAGATAAGGGACACCAACACAGATTTCCTTTTCAGGGTGTGCCTAGTCAAGCACCTAAAGAGCTTTGTTAAACCAAGGCTACTGCAAATAGTATTTCACATGCTGATAGCTACAGCACTTCAGGCCAGCATTAGCAAGCTGCCAACACCTTAAGACCAGGAGAGCCAGTCTGAATACTGACACTGCTGACTTACACCTCTGAACAGCTCAAAATCTAGCAAGGAAGGATGAGAGAAGGAAGAAGTGAGTCAAGTTAAGCAGGCGGGGAAATCACACAGAGAGAGGATGACACTGGTACCAAGATCTTAGCAAAACCCCCAACAGCACCTCAGAGATTCACCTGGATCTTGAGTCCAACATAGCCTCAGCTCATCCCACATTTCAAAGTCCATGTCATCTCCCCCAATTAGTTAAAGAGGCTCCGAGCCACAAACTGTCAACGCTGCATCAGAATTTATGGGTGCAAATCCCCTCCTTTGCTCTGCATGGTGTAGGCTGTGACCACATGGCACAGAGGAGGATGTGTTGGTGCCTCCATAACCAGAACACAAGAGGACCTAAACCTCATCAGAAGGGAGGAAGTGCGAGCCCAGTTGAACCACGGGCCCAACTCAAGGGATGTGAGCCCTACTTCCAGATCCGCAAGTGGCTTCTACCATGACCATTGCCTATCTGTGCCACCACCCTCCCTTTCATATCCAAAAAGCAGAGAGGAATGTCCTGTCTTCCCTACAGGGACACTACAAAGCAATGACTGTGAAACATCCAGAGAGCTTCTGGTGCTTTGCCATAGAGACACCACTGGCATTCCAGAGCTAACCTTTGCCTCCAACACCCCACAACATGCTAAAAATTCCTAATAGAGGTTGTGAGAGTCAGTTCCACCACTAAATCAACCACATAAAATACCAGAATCTGACATAAAAATCAGGCTCCAAGTATTGACTAAGGAAGTGCTCCATTTCTAATCACTCCTGTATTCAACCTAGGACCCTTCGGTAAGACTAGCAGAGGTCTCCAGGACAGCAAAGGGGAGTTGCTCAGTTCAGCCACATCCCTCTGTAGCTCCACAATGCTTGCCTGCAGACCTGGGGGGAAGAGACCAGTTCCTCTCTGCCATGCCCATCTCTGTCCCCAGCTTCCCTTCTAATAACTCAAAATATCTTAGAAATAAAAAAAATTAAAAAAAAAACCCAAAAAAAAAACCAAAAAAAAAAAAACCACAAACAAAACAAAAAAAAAAAAAAAAAAAACCAAAAACAAAAACCTGTATTCTGTACTTTCCAAAGGCCGTATTTTCCCTGGATAACTAATTAAGGGACACACTGCTGTGGCAGCTTGAGTCTTCAGACACAGTGTGCTCAGTCTAACACCGGGTTTTACAAGCAATGCTTCCTGACTGATCAGGTTTTCCCCACCTACCTCGCTTTCCCTGCTAGGACACTGCACTGGATCAGCTCTGCCGTGCCAAAATGCTGCTGGGCCCCACATTCTGCCCAGTGGCCAACAGCTCTGACCCCTGGGATGCTGCTGGTGGCAGTGGCAGGCCCTGAATTCCCTGTCACCTCCCCTGCATGGCCCCTTTGAGCACCAGCCTCCTCACACAGAAGTGCCAGAACTTCTCCCAAACTGCAGCCCCTTCTTTGCTCTCCCCATCCCTCATCCTCTCAGAGAGCTTCAATGCCCCTGACAGCACTGCCTGACAGCACTGCCTGCCCTCACCCACCTCCCACCTTCCAGACACCCTCCTGCCTTCTCCTCTCAGGACATGCACAGCTCTCCTCTCCTGACCCACAAAGGCTCCTAGAAGCAGCTCTCTGCCAGCTTTCAGTTGTTCCTCTCTACAAGAATTCAGTGCACTAGAGAGAGATGAGGCGATAGGCAGATTGCAGGGCTACACACGCAGCACGCGCTCAGCCACGAACCCACCGCTCTCCTCCTGACCCAAGCAAACGCAGATGAAGGTATCATTAAAAAACCCCAACAACTAAACAGCAAACAGAAAGAGTCCTGTTATTAAGTGTGCCAAGAACTGAGGTCAGTCTCTGCTCTGCCTTAAAAATATGGGGTTGGATGAGAGCCTTCTCAGATCCACAGTCGGGGGAGGCTCCAGTGAGTCCTGCCACAAGCAGGGGCAGACTACGTTAGCAACTCACAACTTAGCAGCACAGACAGCACGGGGACGTTTCAAGCTTTGGCTTCGTGTTTCCTTTCTCCACCTTAAGGTTTCTATAGAGCACCCCGCTGTGTTCTTTGGTCCACTCTGGACCTTCACTGATATCTGTAACTGTGCTGAGCAGTACTAGAAACCAGTTGAGAAATGGGTATAATGGCTGGGGAAAAAAAAATAAAACCCAACAACAAAGCGACTGAGAAAAATCCTAGAGCATCTTCAGCATTACTCAGTTACCAAATACAGGGTATATGTGATAGATCTTACAATAAATACAAGACCCTTGTGGCTCTCCTATGTTGAACATCTCCTCGAAGGAAAACTGGACACAATGCTATAATATCTCAGGGGAAAATTGACCACTCCGAAAGAGTATACAAACTCTTCCCATTAAAGTCTATGTTTACCACATGGCAAGTCAGTGATTAGGAAAATAGCATGACATGCAACTTAAAAGAAAAATGTTCCAGTGCTGTGCTGTATGGGAAAAAATAATTAAAAAGCATCAAAGTTTTGGCTCAGAGACACAATTTCCATTTAAGCATGTGACTGATGCATCTTTTCTTGCTTTTGGGAGAAAAAAAAAGAGAACACAATAAAGAAAAAATTTCAGCAATGCATATTTTCTGTAGTGATAAAACTGCAGATCTCCATAGACCAGAATCAGCAGAACAGCCCAACTGCTAGGGTAAAGGCAACGCTTACATTTGATCCTAATCTACAACATCTGTAAGGATCAAGGGAAAGACGGAGCACAAGGCCTTGAGAAATCTCCCGGATTCTTAAAGAAAACATTTATGTTCTCGCTAAGCCAACGTCCTGCTCAAAGCCCTGTTTCAGATAGTAACCCTAGAAACGGGGCTCTGCTCCCCGGATCAGACGGCACGCACACCAGCTGCCTGGGGAAGATGTGGAGCCCCAGAAAAAGGGGAAAACCCAGTTATTGCTCGGACTGTGACAGCTCAAATGTGAAGCGGCGGTGGAGTTTCTCGACCTCCTGCAGCAAGTGCTTGAAGCCAAAGCAGCTGTTAAATCACAGCAGGAAAGGGAGAGTGAGAATTTGCAGTTCGCCGGGCGTTTCCAGCTTCTCAACCCCCTTTCCCGCTCCCCCACCCTGTCCTAGCGTTTACTGTAAACCAGGGAATAAGCTTTATCTGAGCTAGAATCCCGGGAAACCCCAGAGTGCAGCCCGCAGAGGGCACCAGCGAGATGCGTTTGGAGCAGGCGGGGAGCGGCAGCGAGTCATTTCTGGTAAAACTTCTTTAATGTGAGGAATGTCACGGGCTGGTACGGCTGGCAGAGTTTAAGACTGGACTTTTTTCCTTTTTAATTTTTTTTTCTGTTTTAATTATCCTATGACTCCCTGATGCGAAGGCTACACTGTGCTCACACTGCCAGTTCGCTCATACAAGCCACACAAGAAATAATATTGTGAGAAAAAGGGGGGTGGGGGGGTCAGAAGCCCAACTCTGAAAAGGCAAAAAAAGAGTGAGGCTGGGCCAGCTGATGTAAACAAGTTATGAAATAACCCAGGTTTGTATAACTGGTCCGATTGTGTAATGCCTTCCCCAGAAGTGGTAGATTTAGTCGATCTAGACATAGAAGTCATTTCGAGGTATTTTCTTAGGAAAATCAAAAGGGGAAAAAACCCAAACCACAAGACTGGGCTTTCAGGTCCGCGAATTCACGCCGCTTCCACAGGAAATATTCCCCATTCTCGAAGCGCCGCCCGGCAGTGGGGCTTGAGTAGGGAGCGGGGCCGGGGAGCGCCGGGAGCGCTCCGGCGAGCCCCAGGAAACTCCGGCTCGGAAAGAGCCGCGGCCGGCCGGAGAGCGGCCGGCGGAACCAAAGGAGCGGGCGGGCAGAGGGCTGAGCACGGCGGCACGCCGCCGGCCGAGGGGTGCCAGCGTGGGCCCCGTGGAAAAGGCAAAGAGACTGTCAGCGCCTCGGAGACAAAGTTTAACGGGGGAGAAGCGGGCAGACAACCGCAGGCGCTGGAAAGACCCAGAGCCCGCTTCCAGCCATCCCGCCGTGTTCCACGGCGGCTGCGACATCTCCGTGAATAACTCGGGCGGTACCTCCCAAAGTCCCAGCGAAGCCTCCCAAAGTCCTGCGGGCGAGCCCCGGGCACCACCCGGGCAGGCGCGATGAACGTGGACAGCGAGAAGCTCCCAATGAGAACAAAAGCAGGAAGGAGGAAGAGTTCGGTGCGCCCCTATATTCGCGTTACCGACCTCGCAGAGGAGTCGCCCGTAGGAGCCCTTTGATTGCCGAGCGGGTCCCGACCCGGCGCTGCGGCGGGTGCCCGGCCGACAGGCGGGAGGTCGGCACCGACACCCGGCCACCCCGCTCCACCTGGGGCCGGGCCAGCGGAGACTGCCCGGCGCTCCCTCACCGCACGTCCCCGCTCGGGGCAGGCCGTGCCTCCCGCAGCACTCCCGGCCCGACAGGCGGGGAACTCCGGTCAGCGTCCCTCCGGACGCGTCGCGGCACCGCTCCGGGGCGGGCGGACAGGGAGGGAAGGAAAGCGGCGGCGCCCCGCTAAGGGCGGCGGGACGGAGCGGCGGCTGCGGGCAGCCCCGCGCCCCGGCACTGCCTGCGCCACCGCCACCGGCGCCTCTCCGCCGGGCGCCCGTGCCTCCGCCGCGGAGGAAGCGCCGGCCGCTCCCCGGGCGTGGCGGTGAACTCCCGTCCCGGGAGCGCTCGAAGCCGCCCCCGGAGGCACCGGGGGAGAGGGACAGCGCCCGGCCCTACCTGCTGGGCTGCGCCGCTCGAGTAGGTCTCGGGATGTCCCGGGGAGCCGCTGCTGCCTCTGGAGGAGGTGTCGAAGTTCCCGGGGTAGTCCTGGTACATGGTCCGAGGTCGGGCCGGGGGAGCCGCGTCCCCGCCTTCCCACACCGACACCCGCCGCTCCCTCGTCGTCTCCCCGCCCCCTTCTCCCTCCCGACCTCTTCGGCTCTTGCCTTTCGCCTCCCGCCGCTCGCCGCGGAGAGGGACAAAAATAATAAAAACGGCTTTGGAGACGAGGAAGAAAGTGGGGGGAAAAGGTAAAAAAAAAAACTTTAAAAAAAAAGGGAAAAAATTTAAAAATAAAGAGATAACAAAAATAAAAATAATAACAATGATGATAAAAGTGGCTCAGTTGGCAGCCGAGCGCCTGCGGGACGGGACGGGACGGCAGGACTCGGCGGCGCGGCGGGAGCAGAGCCGTGCGCGCAAGCGGGCGCTCGCCGATGTCCTCTCTCCGCGCTGCCCGGCGAAACTCGCCCCGCCGGCGGAGCGGCTCCGGGCCCGGGGGCTGCAGGCGGAGCGGTTCTCCTCCGCCCCCCCAACCTCCTCCTCCTCCACCACCACCACCACCACACACCGGCCGCCCCTTTTCCCGGCGCGGGGTGACTCAGCCGGGTCTTGCGCCCCGCGGCTCGGCGGCGCTGCGAGCGGGAGCTCCGCGCGCCCGCGGTGACTCAGAGCAATGGCATCGCCCCGGCCGCGCTCGCTTATTATCCGCCCGCCGCCGCACCATGTGCACTCGCACACGTCAAACCCGCGGCGCACCGGCCCCACCTTGGCGCGCGGAGCCTCCCACCTGCCGCCGCGGCGGGGGGGGCGGGCCGCCCGCGGGGGGACGGCGCCCGCTCGGCCGCGCCCGCCGCGCCCGCCCCTCCCCGGCCCGCGGTCCGGGCGGCTCGGGCGGGGCGGGCGCAGCGGCGGGGGCAGCGCGGCGCCCGGTTCCCGGCAGGCCCCGCCTCCCCCCGCCCCGCTTGGTGCCGTCCGCTGTCGCACGTTGCCAAAAATGGTCATTTGCGTCGCACGACGCGAGCGCGGGTTTCCTTGCCGCGAATGACGCGCTGCGAGAGGGATTCCCTGCCCGGCAGCGGGGATTTAAAGGGACAGCGCACCGCCGGCAGAGGGACGCGGGGGTGGCTGCGGGGAACGGCGCAGAGCTGCTGGCCTCACAGACCGGCCCGCCCCGCCACGGGGGCTCGGGGGGCGTTCGATCCAGCCCTTCTCCCTGCAGGAGGGTGCTCGGCACCAGGGGTGCCCCAGGGCTCGGTCCGTTTTTCAGTGCATCAGTAAACCAAGCGTTGGACTCGTCTAGATTTTACAGCATTGTTAAACTAGTTTTATTTTTATTTCTTTTGTTTTTATTATTTTATATTTCTATTATTTTGTATTTTCGTGGTTATTACTTCTATAATTTTAATTCCTTTTCATTAACTACATTTTTCTTTTATTTACTAATAGTGTGCTATTATTTTTATTTTTTTAATTTAAAAATATTTTTCCTATTTATTTTTCATGCAATTTAAAAAATATTTTAATTCTTATTCAAATTTGATAACTATTCTTACTTCCCCCCCCCTTATTTTAATTTTTAATTATTTAATCTTTACCTTTACTTTTTAAGAGGACTCCTCCATCCTCCTAGGATCTGCCACTCTAGGTCTCCAAACCAGAGTACGTCACAGGAACATCAGGTGACAGCCCTGGGCTTCCCTGCAGCAGGAACTGGTGGGACAAGGACTGTACCAGCCCGCCGCGGGTGGCTCTGGCATTGCCAGGTCACTGACTAGCACAGGCTGGAAGGTGGCAGAAGCAGATAGAGCAGAGCCATGCACACAGAGAACGCGGGCTCTGAGGTGATCTGCAGCGAATACAGCAGTGATGCTACTTCACAGATTGTTTAAATGCCGCTCAGAGACATGAAGTGTCTCGTTTCCACCCTCCCTGGAGGATTTGCCGAGCGCTGGGCAAGTCCTTTTCGCTGGTAGGGAGGGAGAAGTCATCTAAGTTCAAGTTATAAAATCCCATTTAAGCTGTGTCACGGACAAAGTATTTTTCCACAGGAGCCCATCTGAAAGCAGTGGGCTTTCCTCCACTCACACTGTGCTCCTTGGAAGGTAGAAGCAGTGCCCATCTCAACCCTGGAGCCTTTGGGGAACTCTGAAATGAAGCACCCTGTGGGGGCTAAGTCTTCAGAACTCGGTTATTTTTTAGCACTGACCTAGGAATTTGGGACTAAAATTCCTGCCGATGCAGTTTAGTTTTCAGCACCTTCATTATTCAGGCAATTGAAATTCTCCCTCCAAATTAGCCGGCCTATTTCAGGCAGCACCTGACTTCGGGGGAGGTGGGGAAAGGGCTGTAAAAATATACCCGTGTTTCCAACTCGAACTGCACTAGGAGTGAGGGGTGGGGAGGGGGAGAGGTGCTCTAGCAGGCACAGTGAGGCCGTGATGTGTTTTTCCCCTTGAGTGGCAGGTGATCAGCACATGCTGCTTTCTGCTGGAAAGAGAATTAGTTCAAGATGTGAGAGGAATCAGGCTGCAGTTGTCAAGAGATGAAGAGAGAAAGGGTAAAACAAGCATCAAAATAAACTTAACAAAAGCCGTGGCTGGTTTTTGGCTAGTCACCACCCTCTGCTCTGCTTCCCCCTCAGGTGAAGGATGCTGCTGGCTCTGAGGCTTACCAGATGTTAGGAGCCACTGCCATCACCTGAGCTCATCAACCCTGGCTCTGGTCCTGTTTCACATCAGGCTGGTGGGCTTGTAGAATCCAGTCTGCTGAGCAGCAAGAAATGCAGAAAAGTATTTGTTGTAGGGAAAGAGTGATGACCAGAAACAGGGAAGCAAGATGGGGGTGCTGGAGCATTAGTGTTGCAGCATTTTGCAAGAGGAAAAGTGAGGTGCTTTTCATCCCTCCTCCTAGAATTGTTTCTATACTTTGTCTTCAGCAGTTCATTTACCCTAAACTACCTGCCCTCCACATGTTTCAGCTCATGCTCATTTTGAACGTTGTTTTCAAACCTTATCCAAATATAATTTTGGCACATCTATCCTGTCCAGCTGAATTTGCATGAGACCTAGTCTGGGAACAGCTCGTTTGAAATGACATTCAAGGGCTGTTTTAATATTTGGCTGCAGCTAATGTGGATGCAATTAGTTGACACTTGTAAATCCTGAGGTTAAAAGCCCTGTAAGAAATGCAGGAAGCTGAACGCACACCTGAGGCCAAGCCCTCAGCTCCTGTAGGGTGATGAACCTCCCTCCACAGCTGGACGGCACCACCTTGCCCTCCCAAAGCTCCTGACCCACACCCATCAGATGTGATGCTGAAGCTTTACCAAAATACATGTGTAAATGTGTATTTACATTGCCTTCACTGGAGTTCCTTCTGCCCTGGGAGGACAAAACCCTGCTGGTTAAGACAGGCTCACATGTACAGAAGGGGTTGGTACATCCCATTGGGAAAAAATATTCCGTCGGATTGAGTCTCCTCATTCCCGAATCAGCCCCTATGTAATACTTATTGTTTTGGATTGAAGGAACCCAGACTAGCCTGGCTCTCAGTACCCCAGACACATGCATTTTTAATACTCATCCAGACCAAGCTGCATTGTGCAATAGGCTCCCTGCTTCCAAAAAACAAGAGATAACATGTACGCCTGCCTAGTCCATTCTTGCCTGAACCAAAGACAAATTAAGACCAGCCCAGGTTCCAGGGCAGGAGAGGATCATTGTAAGGCAAATGAGACCTTGGCTCCTCACACTTCTCGATTTCGGCAGCAATTAGGAGCCTGAAACCCAGACCTGGGAATGCTTTTCACGGTGTTTTTACAGGAACAGTGGATAAGGGCACTTCGCAGCATCTTAGCCTTAGCCCTCGGCAAGCACGTGGCGGAGTCGGCCGTCAGCACCTCCTCTCCAGCATCCCCAGCCACACCGTGCCACCTGCCTGAAGGCAAGATCATTGGTTTCCAATTTTAAATATATGCAGCCATGATTCTCCTTGCTCTCCTTCCAACCCTTAAGACATCTCCTGAAGAAGCCTGCAGTAGTCACTTCACCTAAAATGTGTATTGCCACCAGTGTCAGAGAGCTCAGATGTGCTGTGGCTGCTCCTGCAGTGGGCCAGGGAAGCTTCTGGACCGAGGGGTGCCTGCAGGAGAGGTGGGACTGAAGCACACTGGTGGGGTGTGGGGACCTGCAGGACAACCTAAGACAAATCATACACCTCTTCTCCCATTACAATTCCTCATGTCCTGTTTTAAAATTCACTCCCACCTCCCTGCAAATTGGTGTTTCCTCCGTCACTGTTCATTATTACACAAGTGACTCTTTTGTTTCCTGAGACCTTTTCCTCGAGCTCTCTGGAGAAGCACATATTCAGGGCTCTCCAGCCCTTCCTGACAATTCTACTTTCATCTGTGCGTGAAGTCTGCTTTCATATTGTCTCTTTAAGTGCTAAGAGCAAGTGTTTTGATGTTAACTCCTGGGAACGAGCTCTTAAGCTACCACCTCACGCTTAATTACAGTTATTTATTAAGTACTCCAGCATATCCAAGGGAGAACGGAGGTTTTCTCCTTCAAAGGGCTTCTGGATGTGGTTCCTCAAATACTTTTTGTCAAGCACAGAGCTTTTCCTACCCATGTCCTCTTGACCACGGAGCCCTCTCCCCTGCTGATAACCCCACGGCACGGGGCCATGGGGCCTCCCTCCAGCAGCACAGCTATCTTTAGGGCAGGGAGGCACTCCCCTCAATTGTTCTCAGGTGACGGCAGCCACGCTGTCCCGGTGTTCAAGCACCCAGCTGGCTCTGCCCCACATTCCCAGCAGGATGAGTGCTGCCATACTGTCCAGCTCAGGGTAATGACACCAGTGCTGCCACTCTTACTGCTGCCAGGTGATGTGGTGGGCATCATTTAACTCTTTTCCAGTTCCGGTGCAAATAAAAGCCCAGGACAAAGCCAGATGCTGTGATGCTCTTCCCTTTTCTGAAGCAGGGTTGGGTGATGCCAAGGGCCTGGGACACAGGTGCGGAAGCAGCAGGAGGGGCACCAGACACCCCTGGCACTGCTTAGTCAGGCTGGTGGCATGGCCATGGTCTGGGAGCAGCAGCCAGAGGTCCTGCTGGCTCCCACAGTGTCGGCTCTGCAGAGATCCCAGACACCAACAAGGTCAAACTACTTCAAAGCAGAAATGGCTTCAGCCTGCTTAACATGTTCCAGGACAAAGATCCTACAAACCCACAGAGCAGCAGGTGCAAGACATGAATTGTGAACAAGGGCTCATTAGGAGTGACCACAAGGCACTGTTTATGGCACTTTGCTGGTGTAGGGAAGCAGAAAACAGCTTCAGGAGATCCCTGCCTAGGGATGA